CACTAATCAACAAACAGGGACATCAGACTGAACACCCAGCACTGATCACGTCACTGGTCATAAGGAATCTCACGGATTGGTTCCCTGACTGCCTTAAAACCCAGTCAACCTACTTACTTACTCACTTGGCCTGACGAATCTTTTGCGTCAAAAGCGAAACGTTGCCCAGCAATAAATCCACCGATTGTTTACCAAACCCCTCTTAAAAGATGACTTCCCAATCGGTCCCAAACATTTTCCAATTGATTGAAAGCTAAACTAGCCTTTAGAAGTTTTAAAGGTAATGTTTGCGCTGAGAACTGTGTTCGGGCATGTGGGAATTAAAACTAAGATATTTGCACACAACCAGGAACATGTGTACCTTGTGAAATAAACTAAAGAAATACAATGTTGTGGCTGAATTTGTATTCCACAAGCCCGTAAATGGTTTGGTAGACGGAAGTGGATTATGATTGGGGAAAATTGAATCCAAGCCAGATTGAATACTGAAGTGCCATCAATAATTTGGTGAGATAGTTTGAGGGGAGGAACGCCAACGACGCGCTGTAAAAAGTAGACATCTGGAATGTGAGTTTGTCAGGGACTAACACAACTACGGTAGGAAGACGTTCCTCAGCGGGTAACGTTTCTACTTGCGCTAGAATGGTTTTAGCTTGTAACTTTGATGGCTGATATAATAAAGAATGGTAAAGTGCATAATACGCCTTAATTAGAAAGCGTTGCGCATCTGTTTGAGGCGAATTTAGAACACAGTAGTCATCCAATTTATGGGAGTTTTAAGAGGCGGAAATTTTGGTGGGTTGCACTTCTTTCAGCCGGAAGAACCAAATCAGACCACTTGGTCCCATAGGAGCCACAGAAGGCGCTTTGACACTCTACCATTATTATTTGAAGAGGTTGGTGTAAAGCACCGACGGGACGTTTTTGAGACACCGACATTTTACTGCCTCTCAGACATGGCCCAGTTGCGCCCTCAATGGCTCTCATGCATCCAAGCTATTGCCTTTAATGCATAGCCCCCCTCCACTTAACAGTCCACCTACAGTGCTGCATTTGCACACTAATTCATCAGCTCCCGCCTCCAATGCGCATCTACCTACCCTACTTCCCCGTATCATCGGTGAACGAAACTGTAGCAGCTACAACCACTGTACGACAAGTACGCGGTTATTGCAGCTGACAATGATGATGATGATGATGACTATTATTATGTTTCCAACCATGTACTGAGTTGGCTGCTGCACTCGTATTTAGTTGGGAAAGTTGTATACTTGTTTATTCAACATTCGGTTTAAACACTATACTTTCCATCTTCCAAGGGTTATCTCACGCAAATCGGAAAACTACCGGACTGGATTTTTTTGATAAAGTGTATCTGCATGCAACGAGGACAGTAATGGCATTAACTTTTAATCAGAATCACGTTTGGTTGTTGAAAGTGGATAGCTCATGTACGTTCTTACTTCACTTATTAGATGAATGAATGTCAATTATGACACATGGATATTTAACAAGATGGAGTCAAATTAGATCGGAACGCACTGAATGCTAAGAATAACGTTCAAAACATAGCAACTGAGAAGTTGCTGAATTAACTTTGTGTGAATTGCGAAATATAAGTGACACATTTTCGGCAGGGACGAAACTCCTAAGAAGCACGAGTTTGCCTTTATTATTCCACGGAAAACGACGAAATGCTGTTAGGAGGAGTTGCCTGCCGCAGATGTATGTGTAACTTGGGACAGATAATGTTAAAATCGTTTCGCTCCAATGCGTGCATAAAACTGGAGAGAATGCAACAAAAAGTTGAAAAAGAAATTCTCTATCCTTAGCAAAGTGTACCGATTCTGTACCGGTTCTGCCACCTAAATTAGCACAACCCAGTGAGTGACTGGGTCCCCCGTTCGGTTGTTTGTCATTTATTCATTTGTCACCATTATTAATTAGCTATCATTCTTTTTTATACTCCTTTAGATCCGCCTGAGGGTACGAGGTACGGGCTAAGCGACTGTACGCAAAAGCCCTGGAGGCTGTTCCTTCTGTCTCCATTAAAGTGCAAGTTGGACGTAAAGGTGGGTATTCAATGATACACATGCTTGCAACTTATATGAATATGCAGCGCCTTTTTCAGCATCCTCGATGCAAGCAACTTTGTGTCCATTCACGCGGCTACATCAAACGAGGATTGCACAACTGAGCACTTCAATTAGGAAGGCAAATCCGTTTTACTTGAGCTGTGTTCCTACATCTTTCACAAATGGTTCTTGTGTGGTTAGATCCTAGGAGATGCTTTCTCTAGTTGATTTAATCTCTTATATTAGGGTTGTAATTGTCGTTTATAAAAAAACGGTCAGACGTTTTTGAATACACAGGTGAAAACGTCTCATCCTTTTGTTAGGTGCTTTGAGGTTTCAGCAAGCATCGTGAAGAACCGCAGTGGGAAAAACACGTTTGCGTGGTGCTGCAAAGTAAAACGTGCATAAGTTGTTAGCTTTTGAGTATAAGAACGGTACAACCTCTGATTTTCTCTCAATACTATCTGGTTTTTATTGGTTATTTTTTTCCGTTTTTTTGGCTGAAAAGTAGACTTCTATTGAAGCCTATCTAAGGATGTGGACTGTAGACTGAAATCAATATAAAGCTTTGTTTGTCTACGCGAATGCATTTTCGCCCCGACGCACTTTCTAAGCTTAAACCTGTCACTGCATTTTAGGTGCATTTGAAGTTGTTGTGAACGGGATGAAGGTCTTCTCAAAATTAGAAATGGGATACTTTCCGAAAATTGAACGAGTGAGTGTAAAACTACACTAGTCCACATGGTTTTCTATGTGATCTCGGGCCACTTTTTTCATAGCATCACATCACAAAGTCGAAGCTATCAGCCTAGGCTGGCACAATCGCCGAAGTAGTGAAAATGGTAATTTGTTTGAACCAGGGTGTTCTCCGTCGTTTCCTGATGTGAAATCAATTTCGTTATTGCTATTGTTTGTTACTGTTGTTGAGTAATGGCAAACGTGAGACTGTAATGCTGGTCAGCAGTGTGAGGAGGTTAGTTTCCGACCATCATCTGTGAAGCGGATAGTTCATTAAAGATCAAAAGCGGGAGTTCCTCAGAAATACCACTATCTCCTGCTGCTGATTACTAAAAGAACAAGTAATAACATAAGGCGGAATGGAGAGCCGGAAATAAGAAAACTGGGGAATGAAGCCACCTTTATGTACTTAAAGCGGATTTGGTTTCCGTTTGATTACCTGCTTACTTGTTTGAGTCAATTATCTTAATCACCTGTGAGCACACAGTCATACTTAGTAGCCTAATGGTTATTTATTTAAACCCTCGCCAGGTAATCAAAAGAAAAGCACCCAAAAATGCCATGACTGGAAAGGACCCTTCGGAGGGTGTTTTGATAAATTATCGTTTCATTTAAAATGAGTAATTTGCTCAATCCCGAAGTATAGTGGACACTGATTCGTAAAGTTTACAAAGGCCTCCAATGCGTAAGCTACTCTACTACAAAGCTAAAGGGGGCACTTCCGGACCAGTGTCGGGAAGGTGAGTCGAACCGACAACACTCAGACGTTTCGTCGTGTCTTTCATAAAACTCTGCCAGGTCAAGTGTAAGACAACTCTCTGCTTCTGCCACTCCAAATGTGGCACGCAACATAGCACTGTCTTCAGAACGCGATGGTTCTGGGTACACAATACATGTCCTAACCAACGGAGCTCCTGGTGCCGAACACATTCTTTAATGGAAGTACCCGCTGCACAAACAAAAAACTCCTGGAAACAGGATAACGTGAACCTCATATAGGAAGTCGCGAAGGCCCCACAGAACTCAGTTTAGCAGTACTCGCTTTTGTTTCATGTTGCTATGTCATAATCTGCTCCTTCTTTCTAAACAACCGCTTGGTACAGAAACTACCACTTTTCCCCAAAAACCTCAATCTAGTAAGTTCAATCCGCTGCTCTAAGGAATCTGATCGGCTAACAAATACCCACTAACCCACCATTTTGTCGCGGACTCGCGTGAAAACACTAACAGTGACAACGGTGATCATACATGAAAACTCATAAGGTCTGCAGAGCGACAGGTCCGTAGAGTAGCAGCTGTCTTGCGTACCTGGCCCTTTTAATTCAGAGAACTACGGTCATGTCACCATAAATGACGCAAGTTGTTAAGTGATACTCGCCGAGTGGTTTGCCGCGCATTAAATTCGTCTGTTAAAGTATAATATCGACTTTTGAAGCTATCAAGATACGTGAGGAGTTGGGGAACGTTGAAGTTAGTCTTTGCATTTTGAAGGTGCAAAGCCTATGCCGAAATATGGCATCACCTCCGAGATTCTGGTTAGGGTACTTTGTGCGGATAGATAATTTTCAAACAACAGAATGACAGCGTCCGCGCAATCTAAGTCCCTTCATCTCTCTCTGGACGTAGTTCCGATACGTAAACTCATGGTCCCCTATGGTTTGCACTGTATGGTAGCGCCGAACTCCTAGTGTTGATCACACTTTTCCATGGAAGCACCCGTTGTACAATCGAGAACTCGCTTCCAATTGTCTCGTTACGGATTCGCCGACACCAACCCACACGAGCTATGGTTCTGAGACAGTGATTGTTGAACACCTGAAGACGTCATAGTTTTCCTGCTAGAACAGGCCAAGTCTCACAACAAAACAGCTTGTGTGTAGCTTGATACACAAGTCCCTTGAGATTCAGGGATTAACCACTTTGACGCCATAGATGGCTCAATTTCGCAAATGTGAAATTGGAAATTCGTGGATTGACCTAATCAATGACACTACAACTATACAACTTCCAAGATATACAAAACATTTCACGACTTCCAGTGCGTCTCCCTGGATTGTAAATGGCGTGTTCAGTGACCGCATGTTCGGGTGCATGACCGTACACTTTGTGGGTCCAAAGTGCATACCAAAGGACTTTGGTCAGTTCATCCAAAAACACCTGCGCCTTCTGAATATTTCAGATCAACAAGGTTTTGTCACAGGCTATTTAAACATCGGAGTTTCGGAGACCTTCCATCGTCCGTCTCGTGATTTCGTCGATCACGAAGTTAAATAGAGAGAGTGGGCATCTATGACGGACGCCACGTTGTTTACGGAAGATTTTGGAGAGCTCGCCGTATACTCTTACACGTCCGGAAGCCGAAATACAAAGAACTTATTATGTTCACGAATTTCCGGGACATTCCTTGGTTGGCAAGCTTGTCAAGAAGGGACCGGTCAACGGAGTCGAATGCACTTTAGAAATTTAGGAATACTAGGATTTTGGGTAGCTTATACGGATGGCGTTGTTCCACCACCTGACGGAGTGTGATGATTTGACCATCGCAACCTCTACCATACAGGCCTTCCGTTTTCTGCTCTCCAGTCAGTGTTTCACGGGCCACCATAAGGCGACGAGGTGGGAGTGACGCCAACATTCTCGTTAAGGCTGGAGTCAAGCTGCCACCCTCTGTGGTTGTGACACTCATTACTGGCCCCTTTTTTGAAGACGGGCACTATCACCGCCTCTCCCCAATTGTCTGGAACAGATTCCTTTTCCCAAACACAAGCAAACAAACCAGGCAGGTTTTGACTGAGGACTTCACCCCCATCTTTGAACAATGCGGGTTTGAGGTCATTTGAACCAGAGACTCGGTGGCGCTTGAGAGAACATATTCAGTCATAAACCTCTGAGGCCGTAGGCGGTTCCACGTTCACCGTCCAGTGTTCCACGTCACCTGTGGGCTCCAGATGGGTGCCAGCTGGTGTCCATGACAATTGTCGTTCGAAGTATTTGGCATATCAGTCGAGGTTTTCTTCTTTCTTCAGATGATCACTCCCTTCCAATTCTTGATGGTTCCGCTCACAGGTGGTTTCCGAAGCTGGACCGCACGGACCAACTGAAATAATCTCCGGGCATTGCCGGTTTTCTGGACATCTCCCATTTCCTTGGCTTTCTGCGTCCACCATGATTCGCGGTCGGGTCGAACGCGAACTTCCACTGGGTGTCTGATAATTCGTCGAATCAAATAATGTTCGGAGCCGGCTTGGATATTTCCTCAATTTAAGGAGTGCCACCGTTCGGTCTGATATCCAGTGTTTGCGTGCACCCGGTTGGGCCGTGTCACAGACAAAATTCCCAGCACCATGCAAAGAGGTGGTAAGCTGTACCACATCTGATGGTGGGACCTTCGGAAGGGATTCTAGAAGACGTTTAGTTCGTCTAATATCCGGATTTGTGAGTCTTCCTGTTGCCAAGCAGTTTGTTCGCACCTTACGCGGAAAACGTAGGGAAAAGCAACTCTGGACAGGCGCATGATCGAAATCCACAAATGTGCTCCAAAAAGATCGGCAGTCAGTTACGGATCTGCGCCATCGGGAACTGACAATGTGACCGATTAGGGCATGCCATATGGTCAGACGACTTTGGCTATTTCGGAAGTTAGTACTACATGAAAACAGCCTGCAATCAGCACACAGATGAAGCAATCGTTCCTCATTGTCCGTACGTACTGAGTCTAATCCATCTCGACCTCCTAATTGAGTCTCAGATACGCTACGCCTGCCCACCTTTGCACTCAAATCTCCGGCATCCACCACGATGTTTGAGCTTTTAGCTCATCGCAACAGGACATTCAGGGCGTCGTAAAACCTGTCTTTGACGGCATTGGAGCTACGGTCAGCTGGGGCGTAGGTAGACACGATAAACAGGCACCTATCAGTCTCTTTCGTTCCAGAAGTTGCCAGAGGAACCACACAGAGGCGCCTATCAACAGGTATCTATTCAAGCAATAATACTGTCGCCCCGTGACTCAGGACGATATCAATGTCCGCACATCCTGCCGCATCAGCCTCTGGATCATCGGAGGTGCGCAGACGTAAGCGAGGGGAGACTGATCGGGCGGTAAGCTTAGTCACTGTGCTCGCCTCTTGAATTCTTGTTCTGAGACAGCACAAGCAAGAGCACGATCAAGAGCAGCTTATCCTGCTTGCTTCAGAGTGCGGACGTTGGAGGCGGCCAGATAGACTGGCGTCGAGGCTTGAAGATTGATTTCGAGATACCTGAGAGTGTCGGCGCCATGTGACGAGCAGATGTTGCATGCAAAACCGATAGAGGACGAACAGTGGCGTCAATCCTTATTTTTGGGCCTACAAGAAGAGATTTCTTGAATATTCCCATGGTTTGAAAAATAACACAGTGACGAACATTAATGTTTTCGGGATCGCGTCATCAGGTCAGTACATATCTAATGGTTAAAATAAGAGCGAAAAATGAAATACGCTACGAACATTGGTTAGTGAGATGCAAAAACGTGGAGACACGAACGATTGGTTGTCTGCGCCTCCCCCATTTAGCATCTAGTTGGATGCTGTGATGGGATGGGGATAGGAGGAAGAAAGAGAGCGTCAGCAATAACCTGTTTTCGCTTACCCGCTCTTCTGTGTGCAGCAGTTAGGGCGAGGCGGCTGACTCTACTCTGCAACTGAAATCTAACGTTTTCCTTTATGTTTCAAATTTGTATCACGTTAATTTGTCAGCCCTCCGAATGCATTACTGTCAGCAAAGACTAGGACATTCTACTCAAAGTTTCAGGCGTCGCAATCCACGAAGTGTTTGCTCCTCCATTCAGCATACCAGGAAGTCACTCAGGTGCTGTACAAATCCTTGTGCAGTTTGAATGTGGGATGGGGTTCATTGGATGTCGTGTGCTGCGTGTATAAACTGAACCAAGTGTACAAATGTAGCTCCAAATCTCCGTTCGATAAAATTGGAGTAACAATATAATTCAAATAATCCTTTTCGTTACAAGTATTTTCCAAAACCAGCGCCTCTCCTGGTCGAATTAGTGAATATTATTTAATCCTATTGTCTGCAGGCCACTCTTCTGATTTATTTTATGTTGACATGTCGTTTTACTCATGCAGCAGAAGTGAAAATCCGTGAACACCTCCTTGCCTCATAGTAATAACGGCCAAAAATTATGCTTGTAGTGCAGGCGACGCCTGCTCACTGCTCAGAAATCTCACTTAACCTTTAGAACGACCGAAAGATTTCAAGTGAAATGTATATCAGAAAGGCGTTTTTTGGCCTAATACCTACTTCGATTAACTGCATTTTGAAACTGCTCAAGGACTTGATTCAGATGAAATCAAATACAAAATTAAAGGTGTTTTCATAACGTAGTAAGGTCCACATTAGCATAAGCGTAGAATGTTTTGCGACATTTATGAGAAAGTAAGCATTCCAGTCAACAGTTTGTTAATTAATGTGGGAGTGATTTGCTGCCTCTCGGAGCTTTCTGGTTAGTGCTCACTGAGCGTCCGTGACGAGCGACAGGTTGCATGATAGATGTCGTTTCTGAATTAAATGTAATCTATCGATCAAGAGTCTAGGATGCATCGCCTTCGCGATTCGCATTCAGCCTCAGCTTATTGCGGTATTCCTTTAGTATTTTTCAAGGATATCTAGTCAAGTTGCACATTGTTGGTACGCAATCTAAGTTGGACGTATATACAACATAGTATACAACACAACGGACCTGTTTAAGTCGACATCTTCAGGAGTAAATCAAACAGAACACGGATCAATAAGAAAACCAAGACGAAGCACCTGTAAATTGCACACGAGCTGGTACACAGACGCATTTCGCCCATATCGTTGGCAATTCATTTTAACTAAGCATGGTTTGCCATACCAGAGTGACTTTCCAACCCGACGTTCTAAACAAAAATCCAGAATAATTGTTGCACCTTCAGATTGAACTAGTACTCCTTGAACATTATCAGATAATATAGACAACAAAAACGAGAAGCAGCCAAAAACATCATCTACAAGAAGCCACTATACTTCGGAAGTGATAGCGCCTCACACTGTGTTGCTAACTGGATAAAAGGGCTATTCCGAAGAACATGTACACATGCTAAACTAAAGCATTACTTTTACAGTTCGCCAACATTTCACGCAATTCTGTCGGTAAATTTTGCGTCCTAGACTCAGCATTGGTGGTCTGCCCTCATGTACCGCAAACTTTAGGTCAATTAACCAAGTGATTGTAGCAGGGCATTAACATGATGATGGTACGCCCCTAAACCATTCGTGGGATACAGGCTGCCAGATAGGCCGGACTTCATCATTTAGCCTCAAGTACCGGATTCTATTTGATCACGCTGGTTGATCACTGGTTGGTACCGCGCATGAACAGAATTGTAACCTTAACAAACTAGCAACTGTTAAGTCAAGAAAGGAAAAACGCCAACTGTTCATACGGACGGCCGCCCGCTGTGTCTGTAGTTCGATTTACTTCTTCGGACTTCCGAATTCTACTTTTGTTCAATAATACGAAGCTCTAAAACTCACTTGAGATTTGGAAGACGGATATTCGTTGCATCCTAGATTTTTAAGTGATGCATATCAAGATTTAGTTGAGAACGGTTAAAACAATTTGACAAATGGAAGTTTGATTGAACTGGGAAGCCTGTCTACCATCTGAAGTGCCAGCCTCCACTGGAATACTACGTGAGCTGTCTGCGAACGACGGACTCAAGCCACTCAAACCACATGAAGTCAGCATGATTTTTCGTAGTTTGTGTTCATACTGTGATTTCTAGTAAAGAATGCTCGGTTTGCTTTCTAATTTCCTTGAACGCCATAGTGAGAAGTTAATTTTTAACTTCTGCTACAGGTATGTTTGAATTCCAGTCTGCTTTTAGAGTGTGATTTGATTTTTCCCTTCATCAAGGCTAATAACATGCATCCCCAACGTGTAGGAACGGCATCTATGGTTATAAATTCTAGCACAACGGCGTTCTCAGTAGGATGTGTGTGAGGAAGAAGTTGGACATTCCTACGGATACTTCATTCATTGAGTAGAACTATTTCACATCGAAAAGCCATAAAGCACTGCGCAGATGTTTCATTCTCACCATCCGCGGTGCGCATCTTGATAAAGTCAGGACGGTTTCGAACCAGCAACCTCCCTGCTAGAATTTGTACACTTAACCGTTCGGCTAAGGGTGGCTGATTAGCTCGCAAATGGACAATATAGCGCCACAGAACGCATTAATATGCTCAAACTACCAATAAAACATAGGTAACAAGTGGAAGCATGAATTCACTTGATGGGTTAAACTGCAATCTGGGAAATTGTCGCTTTAGGAACCAGTCAACACGTGACCACGTGATATGTTTTCCGCGACTTAGGGATGAGTGGCGCTGTGATCACACTGCCAATTAGCCGCTCGTGTTCGGGCATCTAAGTGTTCACCTACTTACTAGAATGGAGGTTATGGATTCGTGAGATAAGCACTGCTGATGAAGAAATAAATAGTTATGCAGTACTTAGTGGTGTTTCACCATAGATCAGCCTCACTTATGGGACGAACTATCATGTAAGTTACGAAATCTCCTCACACTATCGGAATAATAGGGGTGGTTGCTCAATCGACCTGTATGCTTCAGAGAGCTTTTTCAACCTTGTTTGGTTGGGAAGTGTATACTATTAAATTACAGGCTCTGAAGCACGTCACAACACAAGTTTATGATCCAAAACTCCACAAGTTTTTTATTGTTGTTTTCATTCCCCCTGGTTTTTCTTCTTCATTCAGGTTGTTGAAGAAATCAAGGCAGTCGCAAACGGTATAAGACCAAAGAAGCTGACAGAAAAGGAGGATAATAACAACTGTCCAGTCAGCTAGTCCACAGCGTTTTACGCAGCCGACTCAACCATGATGTCGTTTGAGGAAAATTCCTAGAATCTCAAGCGTCGGATGCTCAGGTGTCGGCTAACAACAACATGAACTACACTGGCAGACCACTAATGCATTTATTTTTAATGCCGCCGTTTTCCGGTGGTGCATTTTTCTTTCTTTCTTTATTCACTTTAAAATGCTATCGAAGGTGTATTTTACGCACATGTGCATTAGGGAATTCATGAAACTTATGTTCGAAATATTTTTGTAAACCGTCTCGTCATTCTGCATTCGTGGAACTTGCTGCAAACATACTGAAAGCCTGATATAGACCTTCTTGGGTTTGGATTCGAAAAAGAAGTTCATCCACACACAACTCAAAATTCAAAGGCGGTTGCACTATTCAACTTACTTGGTTTCAGCGGTTGCCGAACTTGGCACCTTAAGCCTATTGGTCCGTTGTTATCAACTTGCAGTAAAACATCAGTATTTAATTTCAACTTTCCATTATTGCAAATCATGCGTCTTTCAGAAAAATCGTATAGTAGCGTCAAAATGTGGTTACGTGATGGAAGCAGTCCACTGAAATTTCACGCTTCAGTATGTAACTTGATTAGAAGTCAATCTAAGGTTTCATGATGTAAAATGAAGGACCCGGAAGAGCGAGAGAGAGAGTGATTCCCTTCGAGCCTGTCATCAGGATTTGGAGGTGCTTACGTTTCAACTATGCGTCCAACCTTTCTGGGTGAAGAACAACAGTGTATGTCTCGTTAACAATAATTGCTAGCTGTAAGTTCAGCTCATCCGACCCGGTACATGGATGTGCACCCGAATCCGATTTTCGCGACATGTTCGCGACATGGTAGGGTATGAACAGCCTTTTTCAAAATTTCTTTTAATCTGTTTTTCCAAGGCACAGACAAACCACCTCGTGTGCGTCACCCTGAATTAATTACGGCAAGTATCAGCACGGCCTCCTTGGTGAAGTACCGCAGTTAATGAAGCCTGTTTGGTTGCATCTTCGCAACTCAACTTTCGTTTGATAAAATTACCGTTTGCACTACAATACACAAGCGGTTGGTACTGAGGCTCCAGTTTTCAATTAACTAAGGGTGCCTCAGCGGTGATGCTTGAAGTGCCAAGGGCTCAATCATCATCACTCATCATCAGCCAATAACGTGGCCTGAAATATAATATCCGAAACACAGTTAATTTCACCTGTTCTTATATAGGTATCTTATATAGGTTTATTTGTAGTCATTCTGTGGATCGGGTATTGGAGAATTTGTCAGTTAAAAAGATCTGGAATGAAAAAAAGGTGTGTGACTTTCTGTGCTAATGAGCCACTTCCCGATGTCAATAGTCTGATGCTAGGCTTGTCGATAAAACCAACTAGAGGAGACAGTCCTGTGGCTCTTATTAGTTTACTTAGGCCGGCTAAATTGTACATGGATTGGCTTTCGAAAACGTGATCCATATGAGTTTTGCCATGAGCCAACCAACACATAATATGCTTGCTGCGAGTCTGAATGCCTCTAGATTATGTTGGCTTGTGGACATCTAAATATGGCCTTAGTAAGCGTTATAATGTCGATGTCACGTCCAAAATATTTATTCAGAGTGGCACATTGTTGCTAAACCTAGTTAGCTCGTAAAAAAGAGACCCCATCAAAGTTTCTGCCATAAAAGTTCTAAACAACATTTTCGGTACTACTGTGTTTAGTATACGTCTGTTTTCCTTCCACATGACTATCTGTTGGAGTTCCCTGTCCAAATCGTTAAACGAAACGAATAGGTTGACTGAATCAACAATGGTCGCCGCTGACTACTCTACCAGTCTCATCCAAGATTAATAGTGGTGGAATGATGAACAGGGTAGGCTCCCAGAAAATTTGGTCGGCTTCCCTACCAAAACTGCAGGTGAAGGGTTACGTGATATGTAGGGCATATGAACGCCTTAAGTGTTCATTTCTCTTGTTGGCTGCGAAAATAGGCAGCTGCGGGGCTGGAAAAGTATTAATAACTGCAGCCCGTAGTTTGTGCCTTACAGCCGCGGCTAAGTGGTAGTCACAAATGAACATCCCTCACTCGATTTCAGTGAATTGAGTACCGATACGAGTTCCTTCTTTTGCGGACAGCAATAAATCTTTCCGGGTAACCTTGGGGCAGCAGTATATTGGTTGAAAGTTCTTCCGTCTGAAACAAATCGGGCATTAAAACAAATCTGGACGGTTTTTGTAACTTTTTGGGATAAAAACCGAAAATCGGAGGTACTTTTCAATCCAGGTTGACTTTTGGTAAACTGGACGTTTGAGAGGGCCGTATCTGGCTGGACGGTTTTTGTAACTTTTTGGGATAAAAACTGAAAATCGGAGGTACTTTTCAATCCAGGTTGACTTTTGGTAAACTGGACGTTTGAGAGGGCCGTCCAAGCACTTGATGGTAAAATCACCTAGTAATGAGAGGCTGTCGCTGATCGCAAACTTAAAACGCACCAACGATTAGGAATGCAAATAATTTACAAGGTTATAGAGTTTTGATAGAAATGTCGTCAAGTAACTAACGCTCAGCCACGTCTATAATGGGATCAAATTGGCTATTTAACGCCTCGCCGTCAATTTGTCCCTTTCAAAATCTGTATGAATGTTTTCCGTATATAAAACGAATAGAGGAGTTATATATGAGATGATGTAAAATATAAACATTAGACCATCACCCATCACAGAATCATCAAGTAATCTCCTATTCCGTGAGCTTCGAAGCTGGTGAAAAGGAATTATACATCAACAGAGTCTGAACAATCATTGAGGTATAGTCCAGATGTTGCTATTTTAGGCTACTGAGAAGTCTACTAATAACCTCACTGGTTTGCCGTAGCATACTTTTGCGTGTACATAAGGCGTCTTCATAGAGCCATGTTTGATGCGTTTGTNCCATGCAAGTAAAGCGGTTCAGTTCTAGCGGGTCAAAGTTGGTTACACAGGGCATAAGTGGGCTGAATTTCTTCCTGGTTAGAAGCTGTATTAGTTTGTTGATGCATGGATCGCCATCTTTTTAACGTTGGGCTTATCTAAAAAAACTGGTCCCCTTTGTGTCTACATAATCCCCATTTTTAAGAGAATTTGTGACGTAAGAAATTCCAAGTGATGGAATAAATTGCAGGAGCAAGTGAGCCAAGAAGACAAATGACCTTATGACAGATAGTCTGAGTATGTACCCTTTACTGAATTCACCGGAATCTTTGGGGCGGCATATAATGGATTATCTGGAGGACAGTTCGCAGAAATAGCGAAAAAGTCACTAGAACCGTCATCAATCTAAATGATTAAGAAAACTGTTATTTTCCTATTTAGACTAAGCGCTAGATTTACTTTCCTCTTCTCTAACGAGTGTCTCAAATTGTCGGATTTATAACATTCATTATTTGAAAGATTTACTTACTGCACTCGCAGCGTTTGAAGTTACGTTGCAAATTAAAGGAGTGTCAAGAGCTACGAAGGCCTCTTCCCTTATTGACTCAATAACTGGACAATGCAATAGCTCATTATCAGGTATTTAAACAATAACCCACCAGGTACGGGCCACATATGCCTACATAGGGGCCAAGGTTAAAGACGAATGCAGTTCAAGGAAAACGTTTCAATCCAACGTTCCGCGGGACTTTGTCAAACCAACATTTCCAGTTAGACTTTAATTAAGAATTAAACTCTACCGCAATCTCTTCACAGAGGTATGAAGTTGAGCGAATTTTTGAGCCATAAATAACAACTAGGTTTTGTCAATAACTTGTATTCTGGAGCAAAACGAGCTTAGCGAGTGCTCAGAGTCCTTCCACATCTGAAAAACCTATTAGGTGGACTAAAACGTACACGGAAGGCAGAATGATTTAAGTGTAATGTTTCGCTTTGACCGACGTGATGTCCAGAAAAGCTTATGTGGATTCTGGACGATTTAGAGGGCTTTTTCCGTTGCTAGCAAGCCACGAGAGGGCGCAATTTTGCAGAAGATGAAATCGCATGATGAAGTCTGTCATAATTTTGTGGTGCGTTTTTTTGAAAATCGGACTTTTGTTCGATAAAGTTGTACAAAGTACGGAAATAAGATGAAGATAATCAACTGCTTCCTTCCGGAGTTTGTCTGCCGCACATATGAAAACAGACACTTGAACTTTTACTAAAGTACTCCAAATTTGAGCGGCTATTTCCGTTATATCTGAACATGTCACTTTGTTCGTTTTATTTTATAGAATTACTAGCCCATCTTATGCTTCAAGTGGCATTTAGCCTAAGTTACCAACCAAATTTAGTAGCTATGTGTAGCACTCGAAGCTGATCCCCTTGTTTGGGCATGCAAAATTTACGTAAATCAGATCACTAAGAAAACAAATAGCACAATTGGTTTGGTTTTTAGGACCCAAATGTCGTTGTCATCCGTAGACTTAGAGCGAAATGTGAACTCTTAGACTGTAACATTCTTGCACAGTGGATGTATTCGGAGCTTTGGGATCACTTCTGATTTTGGTTCAGCAGTGATTGTTTCATATTTTGCGAATCAGCATGTTCTCGGTACAACCTTTGATCCATTCGACATAGTAAACAATGCGGTTGATTACGCATCACTTCCGCGTGGGTTAACATCCATTGAGCTACACAGTTATGAAAAGCGATTGCGTGATTTTACTTCATAAAACTCTAACCGTTGAGCACAGAACATTACATGTTACGAGTTCTAAAATGTATCTCGGTAGTGTGAGAACAGAATCTTCATACAGAGTTTCCGACCAATAGATACAGCCAACCTGTGTTGAAAAGCCAGAAATCGCTATACAGCTGGTTCTTTCCTATTAGAAAGCACCAGTAGTGATCATCTTACGAAAATCCAGGGAGATTCGGACCAGCGATATCCCGCCTAATAGCTGAACATGTAGCCGCCTACCCCGAGCAGCTGATCAGCATCATGATTAGCTCTCACTTTTACAGGATATAGCGCCGCTCACATATTAATCACGGAATCCACATCAGGTGGTCATGTGTGGCCTGGCTACCCGAGTGAGGTCTTCAGATGGAGTTTTCCCAAACCGTGTAAATTTAGTCGCAGTATAGCTGCGGCTATAACCAACACGGTACCTGTTCATGTGTTGGTCCGTTGCGGGTTCTGAATTGCAGCACTCAACGTTTACTGCCTAAATAATTAGGCTGATTACTCTTGGTTATATGGAGATCCGGCGTTACAAAGAAACCCTCGCCATAGCTAATTTTTCACTTGGCTTTTGGCGATTTTCCAGCCGACACAATTTGTTCACGCCTAATCAGAAATATTCGTCGGTTTGGAAAGAAGCTGAGTTGGAATATGATACTTCAAAATTTTATCACTTCAACTTGAACAAGAGCTAAGAAATCATAGATGAAGCACGATCTCGAAAAAATTTGTCCAGTACGTGATGAATAGGCTAGAGAAAATTCACTCCCT